ATAAGATCCTTCACCGACTATCTTTTGCTTATTTCAGGTAAAAAGTTTCGGACCCATCTGAAAATATAATAAACAACAACCAAAACAACACAAAAACGTCAACGAAAAAGTATATCCTGCAAAATCAAAGTCTAAAAGCCTCAAACAACCATCACATATCTATACAAGATCACATAACATAAGACATTTTTTTCAAAAAGTCCCAGACCGTGCTTAGCCTGCTCTGCGAATTTCAGAAAAATTCCTCTTTGTACAGCAGAGATTTTTCCAACAAAAACCTAACCACATACTATCCTATCTACCACTATGTGCATGATTTATCAATAACTATCAACAATAACAACCAGTTCTTACTTATTCACAAGAATATCTAACCCTAAATTCCTAAATCTAACAAGAAGAAGATTTTGAACAGAAATTAGAGAAATTAAAACCATACAAACCTTAGAGATGATGCTTGCAAGAGATAAAAACAAATAAATTTGTAGGAGAAATCAAGATTGAGAAGTGAACTTGTTGTTAACCTTGGTTGGACAAAGAGAGAAAGAGGTAAGTTTTGAAAGAGTGATGAAATGAGAGACAAAGACTCTCACAAACCCTAAATTCGTGTAAACACACAACAGGGTCGAGATACAAAGCTATGTCTCAATCAAAAAGTTATTTTTTTATTTCTTATTTTATTTTTACCACAAACCATGCTTAGCCTGGTAAGGGCGCTCTAAGCATGTTCTCTTATGCCAAATTGTTTTTAAAAAACTTGCAGGGCATGCTAAGTGGGCTCAGACCACGCTTAGCCCACTCTACAGAATACAGAGAAATAAGTTTCTAGCTTAACAACTCAAACAAGTCCCAATTAAATATCACCTAAACAAAATAATGACTGAAAAACAGTAAAAACTCACAAAATTGGGTTGCCTCTCAATAAGCTCTTTGTTTAATGTTGTTAGAGCTCGATGGTCTACGATGATTTCACAAATCACCAGGACGAACAACACTTGTTACCCAATTTACCTCACCTCTGAGATAGATTTTCAATCGTTGTCCATTCACAGTCCAAATCTCCTTTAATATTGGATCCTCCAACACAATTTCTCCATAGTCCTTCACATCCTTAATCAAGAACGGACCCGACCACTTGGACTTCAATTTTCTCGGAAAAAGTTCTAAATGCAAATTAAAGAGAAGAACCATTTGGCCAACTTTGAAGTCTTTGTGTCGAATTTTCTTGTCATGGTAGAATTTTACTTTCTCCTTATACAACTTATTGAAATGGTAAGCATCATTGCGCGTTTCATCTAGACCCTGCAATTGAATTTTTCTTTTTTGTCCAGCCAAGTTAGAATCAAAGTTTAAAAATTTTAATTCCCAAAGAGCCTTGTGCTCAATTTCAAACGGAAGGTGACAGGTTTTCCATACACCATTTGAAAAGGTGTCAAACCAATCACAACTTTGTAAGCGGTGTGATACACCCATAAAGCCTCATCTAACTTAAGTGACCAATCCTTCAGCGAACTTGACATTGTCTTTTCTAAAATCCTTTTGACTTCTCTATTTAAAACTTCAGCTTGACAATTATCTTGCGGATGGTATGAAGTCGCCACTTTATGCTTTACACTATAGTTTTCCAAAAAAAATTCAAGAGGTATATTGCAAAAGTGTGATCCACCATCACTAATTAAAACGTGTGATGTGCCAAAACAGGAAAATGTTTTTCTTTAGAAATTTAATGACCGTTTTTCCATCCGCACTAGGACAAGATATCGCTTTTACCCATTTTGAAACGTAATCCACCGCAACAAGGATAAACTCATTAAAAAACATAGGAGAAATGGTCCTACAAAATCTATTCCCCAACAATAAAAAACTTAATTTTCAACATGCTATTCAAGGGCATCTCATCCCTTTTCCAATTCCCCCACTTATATGACATTTATCACAATTCTTAGCATGTAAGTATGCATGTTTGAACAATGACTGCCAATAAAAGCCCCATTGAAGGACTTTCGTTGTCGTACGCAAACCATTAAAATGACCTCCATACGGAGAACTGTGACAATGCCGAAGTGTACTTTTAGACTCCTCCAATGACACACACCTTCTTAACAAATTATCACTTCCAATCCTAAAAATATAAGGCTCATCCCAAACATAAAATTTCGCATCCGCCAAGAATTTCCTCTTTTATTCCCAAGTTAAATCCTCCGGTATCAATCTAGATGCCATATGATTCACAAAATTGGTAAACTACGCTCTAACTTGTACCGTAAAAAAATTGTATTAGGAAATTCTTATCTAACATCAATTTCTTGGTTAGTAACCTCTACATTGACCAATCAGGATAAGTGATCCGCTACCAAATTCTCATAACCTTTCTTGTCGCGAATTTCTAGATCAAATTCTTGCAAAAACTGGATCCATCAAATGAGTCTTTGCTTAGAATCCAGTTTGGTAAGTAAATACTATATCGTCGCATGGTCAGTGTATACTACAACCTTTGACCCAATAAGGTAAGTTCTAAAATTTTCCAATGCATACACTATAGCTAATAATTCTTTTTCAGTTATGGCATAATTAATTTGTGCCTCATTAAAAACTTTGCTAGCATAATGTATAGCATGAAAAGTTTTTTCCTTTTCTTTGACCAAGAACCACACCAACATCATAATCTCTAGCATCACACATAAGTTCAAAATCAAATTTTCTATTTGGTGCTACAATTATCGATGTGGTTGTCAAATTTTGTTTCAAATTATTAAAAGCTATCAAACAAACATCATAAAAAATAAAAGACTTATCTTTGTTGAGAAAGTTTCTCAAAGGCCTTGGAATCTTGGAAAAGTCTTTGAAAAATCTTCAGTAGAAGCCTGAATGTTTAGAAGGATCAAAACTTATATTAAGAACCATTGTCTCAAGAGTCTTCAGAACTTGTTCATTAGAACCTTATCTTCAGAGTCTTCAGCACATTGGTCTTTCGAGTCTTCAAAACTTGTTCACCAGAATTATGTCTTCGGAATCTTCACAAACTTGGTCTTCAGAGTCTTCGAACTTGTTCAGCAGAACCTTGACTTCAGAGTCTTAAGAACCTTGGAGCAAGAGATCCTAAAATCTTCATAGCTTGAGAAGCCTTCAAGAGCTCTACCATCAGAGTCACAATCATAAGCTTTAAAATATAACGTTCCTCATAACAGTTATTTTAGAAGCATTCTGATCCTTTTAACACGCACATGTATCACTCATTGTGTTGAGTCCAGAGTCTGATGACATCACTCACCATATCTTAGAGTCAGGGCCTGTTAGCAAAAGCTATACACTAGAGAAGACCATTAGATTATCATTAAAACTAAAGGTCACATGCAGAACGAAATCTTGTTCTTATAGAATTTTGTCTTGGTTGCTGAGTTAGATATGCTCAACAATATGATCATTATAAATGAATATGCTCGAGGATTTTGACCATCTTCCATGTCAACGAGATTGGCCCAAGATTCCTTGAGAAACGTTTTAGGATATTTAGATATGGAAATATTTTTTTCACGATCCTTGTTAAATTGAGTGGCATCAACAAATTATGATGTGTTAGAGCTGATATCCTCCTTAAAATCATAAGTCACAAGAATGTGTTCCTTGTTTTCAGTCTTGACAGGTGGAGGATCCTTAGGTGTTTTCAATTTAATAAAAGGGTCCACTACTTTCTTTATTGGGACATAAGTTTGTTTCAACTTAGGAATCTTTGTGACTTCAGTTGTCACACCATTTCCAGATGATTTGTTTCTTGCAAAGACTAACATAATGACCAATGATGTTGTAGTGAGAACATAGTTCGGAAATGTTTTCATATTCTATGTCAACAAAGAAAGCGAAGCCATGACGCTCTGCCAGAACCTTGGACTTGGCTTAAGACCTAAGGTTAATGTCCACTAGAACCTGCACAAAATGTCCATAATCACGGTCTAACTTGGATTTTTTGGTTGTTGCATCGGTACAAATTGGTATTCTAACACTAAGGAGGAGAAAGGAAACAAGTAAAAGTCTTTGTCGAGAGAGGTGAGACCTTATTTGAAGAGGGAATTGCATAAAGGAGAAAGCTTAGCACAGAACGCATCAATTTTTATTGGGGGACCCTTGTGCTAGATTATTCTTCTATTAAAGTTATGCGTATAGGTTTAAATCCCAACTTGATATTCTTCCTCCGATATCACAACGACGACACACTTTTCTTTGAGGTCGGATTTGGAATGTTGGCTAAGGGGAATGTCACAAACATTATTAAAATGGCATTTCTAATATACAATGAATCAATTGTAAATATTTTTTAGGAGTTATTCAATGAATCAAAATAAAAAAAATTAAATGTGGTAGCATGTTGAAAAGTTTAATTCATTCTAATAGTTGAAAATTGAATCAATTGAAAATATTTGAGACATTCTAATAGTTAAAAATTAAATCAGTTGAAAATTGAGTTCAATTAATTTATCTATAAAACATTGTATAGTAGTAAAAACTTGAATCAGTTAAAAATTCTAATTTTGATTAATTGTATAACTCCTATAATATATTCTCTACTACTTCTTCTTCTACCATCTAGAATGTGGTAACATAAAACGACATCTCTAATATGTCACATTCTCTATTGTTGTTTAAGATTATTTCTCTAACACAGTATTCACTTTGAGGTAGCATCACATCTAAAATGTTAATAAACACAATATATAACAGGTCGTAGAAGGGGAAAATATTTGATTACTTCGGTTGTAATTAATTTTCTAAATTAATTTATCCTTATTTAATTTCCATATATAAATATTCATCTTTTCACTCAAAATCTTAAACTAAATTGATAAAATCTTGTTGAAACACTTGCTCACAATATGTCTTAAATTACAAATTTTAAAATTAAATATAAAAAAACAACTAATTTCTCCAACAAAAGCATACCTATTATTAACTTATTACAAATTACTTTACCAAAGAAAGCTAAATAGTATGCATTATGAGCTAAGTCATGGAAGAAAATTAATAAATCCATTGACAAGATCAGGGTGGTGTTCAAAAAGTGAAAAAACCTGGAGAAAAAAAATACAATTATAATTAATATGAGCCATACAAATGAAAATAAAATTGAAAGGCACATACAAATTTAACACATACCATTTCGCACATCTCCTTAAGGCTTATATTGTTGTTTTTGTACATACTCATTATGTCTAGAAATGAATTGTATATACAAGGTTGACGTCGAAATCGTGTCTGCATAAAAAAAAATCATTGTGATTATCAAAATTAACCTTGAAAATATATATATGTTTATCAAAAGAATCTATCATATAACTTAACAATCCTTATACCTTCACTTTGTCTAAATATTTTTCAGCTTTTTCTTTATTCACTTCAAGTATTTTTGTCTCTTTTGTTGGAGGTTTGATTTCCAATCCATCAGGCAAAAAATTATTAAATTTTAATAATAATTCTTTGTGTTGTTTAAACAACTTCTTCACTCTTGTCATCACACCTTGTATATCAATTCTGCAAATACGTCATAAGAAAATAAATAAATTGGCAATAAACTAATTTAAAACTTTTATTCTTATATGAATAAAACAAACCTTCTTATCTGAAAATCTTTCATAATTATCAAAAATTCATGGTACTTATGCTTCTCATCTTTAAATGTAACCTTTATTTCATTCATATATGTCTTGGCATCATCACTGATTATTACTTTCTTTGTACCCGATCCTCTAATTTTCTATAAAAAAAAAAAACATAAGGTAGAGAAAATGAAAATATTCAACAGAATTTTTACTCAATAAATCAATAAAAGTTGAAAATCAACTCATGAGAAAAACAAATAAAACATCAATAATGATATGTATCATTTAATCTCATCTCACAAATATTCACATAATTACTATTATTAAATACTATGCTCTTTAGTAAAGACTATAAAACAAAATGATTATAGAGCAGTAGAAAAAACAAAACTAAACCTAAGAATTTAATTTAAACTTCCTGAAAGACAAAGATCAACTAAAAGGAACTAAAAATCATGAAAAAAGAAACGAAAAAAAAAATCAAAAGTGACAAATCACATTCAATATAAAGACATAAAAATGAATCTGAACAAACGAAATAAAAAAAGTTAGAGAATGGCATAGGTGTTAAAGTTGTTATAGGTGTTAAAGAGAATGGTATAGGTCTAAATATACGAATACAAAGCAAATATCAATTTGCTATGTTCAGAGATTTTGATCAATGTGATATAATTACCTTTGTCATCTTCAAAACTAACAGTGAGAATATGGCGACTTTGAAGAAATGGAGATTGATTTTTCAGTATGAATTTCAAAAAGAAAAGACTAAAACTATAAAAATAAGAGTGGAGAAACAAACATTGTGATGATATATATAGTGATAATGATAATGTAAAACATCTATAAAAAATTAAAATTTGTTAATATGCATTGTATCTCATTTTATTAAATAAAAAGTTATTTTAAGAATTAATATTAAATTTAAATAATACTTTATTTTTTCTAATTCATTGATAAACTTAAATGGATTTGATCAAAGGTTTGTATTTAAAAAAGAAAAAAAAGAAAAAATAGTATACTTTTAATGATTAAAAAAACTTTATTCAACATTTTTAAACATGGTCTCTTTATGTAATATTGTTTAATAATTTAATAATGGATTTTCTCTCATTTGTGTGAGTAAAATACTTTTATTGTTTGACTAAAAATATAATATTAATAATGGTTAATAATTGGTAAATCATACATGGTATTTGACATATATTATTTTTATATTTTTATAATGGTATATTAAAAATATTATGGTGGTATTGAAGTTTTTTAAATATAATATTATTTTTATAACACTTAATATGGTTCAATTTCTTTACCTTCTATGAAATATATTGTTTTTATATATTTTTTTAAATGTTAGACATGCTAGGCGAGTTTATTTTGTATATATACTGATAATTTAAAACTTCTAGAAAAAATTAATTTTAGAATTTGGCAATATGCATTGAATCACATTTTATTAAATAAATTGATATTTTAAGAATTAAATTAAAATTTAAATGATATTTTATATGTTTTCTAATTCATTGATAAACTTAAATGGATTTGATCGAAGGTTTGTATTAAAAAAAAAAATGTTAATTCTATGATTTTAGGATTGACAACAATTTTGTTAAAACATGATTCTATTGATGTTGTGCAAGATGCTATAACATTTGCATCAATTGTCATAACAATTATGCCATTATGTGTTTTTAACTAGATGTCAAAGTCAAATGTCATGATATCTTGGTCTGGTACAATAAGTGATACTGTTTTAATTCTTGACAAGATTTGATTTGATTTCCTTATATTTCTTTTGGATATATCTCAGTTATTTGTGCAGGTCAAGAATATGCAATCTGAAACAAAAGAATCAAATCTCCATCAATATTAAACGTTTCTAAACTTGGTTGTTAAGCTAATTTAGGATACTTGAAGATTTGTTCCAAGATTTTAGAAGATATTCTCTGCAGCAAATAGCGCATGGATTAAGGAAGAATCGGGCAGAGACTTCAAATCCCATGGGCAGCTGAAGCTTATAATAGGAAGACCAAGACCAAGGGCATAATTAGTTCTTAAGGGTTTTGAATAACAAATAAGGGTTTGTTGTTTTGAGAGTCGTGTATGCTCTTGTGACTGTAAGTCACCATTGTATCTTTTGATACTTGTAATAGACATAGTGTTCTCACTCTAAGTCTTTTGGTAATGAGTTGAGTATTATTCTCTCTGAAGATGTAAAGCAAGAGTTGAATATTGTTCTTGATAGAAGCTTTTAAGCAACCCAAGTATTGTTTTTATCTAAGAATCTTAATTATGTATTTATAATTGGGAAGTATGTTCTTCCTGGAAGGTACTGGGGTTGTGATTGTCTTTTTGGTTGTAATTGGGGAATGTGTACTTCCTAACCGTTCTTGGGATTGGAATTGTTTTCGCTGTGATTGGGAATTTTTATCACCGCGGTGATTGGAAGTGGGATGTCATTTTCTCATATCTAAGGAGGATCTAGATAGAATTTGCACTAGGTAGGGATTAAGTGAAAAGTTGTCAACGGGGGAGTTTAGCTTTGAACTAGTGCTACTAACAATAGATTTTCTTCCTAGCCTTGTAGTACCCAAAGGAGACGAGTTTGTACCGAACTGGGTTAACAATTCGATTGTGTTCTTTATCATTCTAAACTTAAAATTCTGCATATTATTCCAGTTTGATATTACTACTCAGTATGTCTATAGATGTTGTAACATTTGTCCTGACATCATGTTATGATGTTGAAAACATCAGTATGTTCATGGTGTACACCAGTGCCTGAATTTCAATTGGCATTATAGCGGGCACCCTGGTTTGTGTTTGGGTGAGCTTCAGGGAGAATAGTTTTGGTACTATCTAATTATTGGAAGGCAAGGTTGATATTTGTCGTGGATTCAAGGGATAACTACCAATGGTTGTCTGGTGCTTCTGTATGCTCTTGTTCAATTTTTGTTTTTACTAAAACAACTACTGATGCTTGTAATGTTAATGTGACAACTACTGATAGTTGTCTTAAGGTCACAACTACTAATGGTTTTGTTAAGGTTACAAATACTGATGGTAGTAATGATGTTATTGTTGTGAAAACTAATGATGGTTGTCTGTGGATGATGTCCTATAAGATGTCCGGATATCTTTCCTGGAACATGTTGATGCTATTTTAATTTGTCTTCTTTTGCATATGCCTTTGATGGAAGAACTTTGGTGGTTTGTAATTTGTGCTTCTGGTATTATTGCTAAAAGAATGAACTATTCTTGGAAGCCGAAATAGGTTGAGTTGTTTGAATAATAAATATGTTGAAAGCAATTCTTGACTTCTCATGAATTCTTTGGTTATACCAATTGATTTAAGCTCTTTGAAGAAGATGTTTTAAGAGATAAGCTAGTTTGTAAGATTTTCATATCTCTTATCAAGAGAGTTATCTTGAAGGTGTCAGCCTGTGTATAAGTTAAGGCACCATCTCCAGGGAGTAGGATAAAGGGGAGAGCATTATGATCTGGACTCTGATGTAGAGTTATCCTATGATGTTGTGTTTCTTCGTAAGTAATTCTACCAGGTACAGAGGAGAATGAATAGAATGTCCTATCCGTCTCAAGATCCATTTGATAGGGCCTTATTTACAATGTTCTAACATGTAATGAAGACCTTTATCAGTCAACAATCAGGTTGAGTCAATGTTGTGAAATCAGAATGTATCATATTCATAACAGACATCAGGATATTCAAGATAAAGGCCAAGTCTTGCACTTCAGTATAAAAGTATGGCTTTCTCAAAAGCTCTTCTCTTCTCAAGGTTAACGTGGCAGTGGTTATATATATAAAAGAAGAAAGTTGTTGGTGAATTACTTGTAGTATTCTACCAGTTGTGCTCTATGGTGATGTTGCCAAAAATATAGATGAAGGTGCTGAAGAAATGAATAGTTCAAGTATCTCATTTCTATAAGTTGTTCTCCTTTTCTAAAGGATTGAAATCTAGTATGATGATTTGTTTTAGTTGGGTGATCAAGGTCTAGTTATGAATAACTGATCACTAATAAGAAGAATAAAGTTGAGATGACCAAGAAAGTAGAGGTGAAGATGTCACAACAGAGGTTGAAACACCAGTCTGCTGCAATATTTTTAGAAATTTCTCTTGTGAGCCTTTTCAAGCTTTTGCAAGGTAAGAATCTTGGTTGATCGGATGTATGCTCATATAATAGTTGCTGATATCTTTGACGAACTTTAAAAAATAAAGATCAAATTTATTTGAAGTTATCAAAAGTTCTTTATCAACTTCTACAAAGGAAAGCTGGGTTCCAGATGGTAAATAGAAGCATGTATATATGCTTGATTGTTGTTTGTTCTGAAAAAGAACTGGGTGAACTACAACACGGAAGAATCAAACATCTTTGAAGTCTTCAAAGATCTTTATAAGTTCTATTTATACTTAATGAATATCTCTGAGATTCACTTCTATTAGTAAAATTTATAGAGATATTGTTGTCATTAAGGAAGGGAAGGATGTTGAACCAAACGTTGGAACATCATCTCAAGAATCTGATTCTCCAGGAAAGAAGGCACTGAATAGCTGCATGATCTAAATAAAAAACTTCTCAACTCAGCTAGAGTTCAGGAGTTTTATTCAGAGGAGTGGATGATAAGAAAATTGGTTTGCAAAGTGATCTCCTTTACTTTTACAGTCTAATGTTATCTTGTATTCAGAATTTTAAGAGATCTTGACAAGTGTATGTTGGAGTAAAGCTCGGCTCCCCAGAAATTTACAAATATGGTGATGTTGGTGTTAATAGGGGATGACTATATGTAGAAAGCAATCTTGTCTCTTGAATCAACCAAGTATTTTTTGAATTCTTAGTCCTTACTAAGGATAAGTATAATGCTGAAGGAAATTGTTGCTCTATAGTGTTCTGTATGCATTGTCAAAGAAGATGTTATGACATTGTATTGTACCAAGTTGATTACAGTTTGTGATCAAGTGTGTAACATTGACTAGACAAAGCTAGTTGATACTTGTCTTAATTTTGACAGTGGTCGTGCTACAAGAAAAAGTAGTTTACTTAGCTTGGGATACCTGGGAAGTTATTTAGGAGACATATTTAGTAAGCCTTTGGATGAAAGTCAATTTGAAATCGTGTAGGGTGTTTTGGAGTTTTGTCCTGTTTATAAAGTTGAAAGTGTACAAGATAATAGACATACAAACATTGTCATGCCAGAATGTGATTATCTATAGTCAAGACAATGTTATAAAAATCAGTGTGAGTTTTCCAAGAAGTCAAAACTTGGAAAGTGAAAAAGGAAGAATGAGAGAATATCTCTCTCCTATGATAAAATGGTGATCAATTAATTTCTCCTTCTTCAAAACTCTCTCCTTGATGATAATCAGTTATAAGCAAAATAATTTATCTGATATAAAATCCCTTCTGTCTCTTCCACGTCTCAAAATCTGAGATTTTGTCATGAGCCAATCGTCTAAGCATGATGGGTCTAAGAAGGTATATTTGCTTGAAGTCAAGTCAGGAAAGAAGGACAAGCAAGTTGGTCTGAAAATGGCTGGATCAAAATGAAAGAAAAGTGTTGGATTGTCTAATGGAGCACTAAGGACAAGAAAGAAGTCCGTAACAAAGATGAGGTCCTGTAAAAAAATCATGTTCAAGTACATGATTCCTCCTCGGATGTTGATGAGTGTG